TCATAAACTTTATGCCTCAATTGCTAGCCAGCTGATTTGGTTTTCATCAGAGTTTCATCCATATTCCAGTACAGCTTGAGGAACTCACAGTTTCAAGAAGGTTCAAAATGTTTTTGGCATGTTTTTGGAGAAGTACTGAAAATTATTTGAAGGGATTATATAAACTCTTGTCTTAATTTGCCCAATATTCAATATTTACAAGCATGGATCAATTTTATCCAAACCAGGTTTCCTAACAAAGTGTGGGGTAGAAGTTAAGTTCATACATACAGAACATTGGTATTTATCAACTTGTCCAAAATGAGGCCTTGGGAATGTGCACAGCAACCATTTTTTGATTGATAGCAATTCTCTTTATTTTTGCATACACCTAAAGAAATGAGATACCTTATTCTGCTTACAAATGGAATTGTTGAATAACATGAGTAATAACACACAATGAACTAGTAAATGAGCAAAGATGTATGACTATACACAGGCTGTACCAGACATTATAAAATATATGCGGCTGCTTGTATTGTTCAAAATTTATGTTGACACTGTACCATTAAATAAACCTAGGACTTCTCCCACAGAAAGCCTGGGAAATTCATTGGATTTTCAAGCCACCTGATGTGCAGTTAATTTACTGAAAAATTGTTGGCAAGACTGACGGTTGACTGCAACCTCAGAATGGCGCCAGAGAGGATTTCAAAGGCTTAAGCCCTTCTTGCGTCGTTTTCAACCTGCGTCGTTTACCGGGGTACCGGGGGGTTCTTGCGCATCTGCACCGGACCCCCCTCCCCACACCCGTTGTTATAGGTGTTGATTCCGGCTAGCTGAATAGCTAACCATGTGAGGCAATGCACCGTCTACCTGCCATCTAGCCGGATGAAATGAATTCTGAGCTTATAGGGGTGTATCTAGTCAATATAGAATACATTACCATATGAGTAAATGCATGAAAATTGTTAGGAAGGTGTATTAATTGATTTCAAAAACACGTTTGTATGCCATTAACCTGGATTTTAAGATTTGGAATATCAGTTGTGTTTTTTAATTGCACCTGTGGTTTTATCATATGATAATGCACTCAGAAATTGGTTATACACACTTTGAATTGCTTTTGTTTCTATGCCAATGAATATCGGATATTGCTCAATCGTTGTTCTTGCATGTCGGTGATCTTTACCGAGGTATGTTGGTATGATTTTACCACACGCTGACTTTTGCTTGGAATGCCTAAAAAACATGTATGTGCTTAGAGAATACAGAGATGGTTGCTTGAATGTGATGTACACCTGTTCAAATGTTTTTTATGAATGCAGATTACTATTGGGTATCTGTCAATTGGTGTTCTTGGATGTTGGTGATCTTTCCTGACATACGTTGGTATACTTTTACCATACGCTGACCTTTGCTCCTTTACGTTTTCTTTGTAAATACGCGAACCTCTTATGTCTCTACTAACGAACTTACACTGCAAGTGGACAAGTCTACGAAAAAAGAGTACGGATAAAAATAGCCAACAACCACAAAACTTACAACCCTTACCAGCGGATCTATTCCAACATACGTCGGTATCCATTTACCAGACAATTACTAAACGCCAACAACCTGTAGTGAATATTTGGTATTGTACCGATGTAACAGCGGCAAATTATATTTATAATGCAGACAATTCCTCGCATGTACAGTCAAACCCTGTTAAACCGCCAACGTTTGTGCAGCAGAATTTTGGCAGTTTAATGGGGTTGGCGGTCTAACGAGGGAGGGGTTGCCACAGTATTTATTGAATAAGTGTATTTGATCTCTTGAAAAAATGTTTCAACCTCTAATCCTCCCCATCCTGCTTTTGGTGATGATGACTGTTCATTCTGTTTTTTTTTGTGGGGACATAAATCTCTCATTATTTTTAATCTTTAAATTGAGAAAAAAAATAATTTAAAAAATATAATGGTCTTTATATTTCGAAACTTCTCTCCTCGGTTTTAAACCGCCAAATTGCCCCATTTTTTGTTACGGTTCTAGGACAAACAAGACGTTTTTTGTAACCGTCAACCGCCTACCGCCTATTTGGGGGTTTTCCCATCCCTTCAAGCTTGAGAAGATTTGTTTGGGAGGAAAAAATGGCAGGAAGCGAGGGTGGCGGTCAATCGGGGGGCGGTTTAACGGGGTTCAACTGTACATACTACATGATAAAACATGGTATCTGTCAATTGGTGTTCTTGGATGTCAGTGATCTTCCCCAACATACGTCGGTATACTTTACCATATGCTGACCTTTGCTTGAAATGCAAAAGAAACATTTATGCGCTTGGAGAATACAGAGATGATTGCTTGAATGTGATGTTCACCTGTTCAGATGCTTTTTTCTTATGCCTATTTTTATCGGTCGTTGGTGTTTTGAATGTCGGGTTACCAGCGGATCTATTCCAACATACATCGGTATCCATTTACCAGACCCTGACGATGTCTCCGGTCTCACTTTGAAACACAATAAAACTTTTTTCTTTAACACTACGAACAGTACTCGTTTAGTGAACCCATTTAAAAACTGTAATAACTAGGTTCTTTACGTGGTCCTTACTTAAAATTTTAATTAACTTAGGTTCAAATTAAACCCAGATATTATTTATTTATATATAATTTTTTTCTAGTAAAATTCAAATTTTCTGGAACAGGAATATTGAATGTGCACCTTACAATTTCTTTAAACTTCAATATCACATACTGCGGAGCTCATCTCTTTTCATCTCATTCAAGTTAATCAAGTATGAAGGGGATTGGGGTTAATAATCTCATTATCTCCGATGCATCTCCTGAGTTGTTAACTTTGGTAACGTTATACCTTCCCTAACAACCGACCACATACATGATAAGTAAAGTATCAAAACCAAATGTCGGTCCTCTTCACCAAGAGAGGTACAAAATGTTGTACTCATTGGAGCAATAAAAAGTGCAGATTTTTGGGTTTCAGCAACTGCAATGCTAGTGTAAGCCTTGTTTGTTATTGATACATGCTGGCATGCAGTGAAATTGAACAGGAGTTATTCTAGCTTGCCACATTCAGTTACAATTCATACCTATGGAAAATCATCTCATATTCAGCAGGTAAGTATGAAGTTTCATGCCATAAGCTGCAAATGAATACTGATGGCAGCCCTGGAGTTGGAGATATTCATAAAAAAAATTTCTTATATTGCTAGAAATAAAAAAATACTGGTTTGTGATTCTGAATGGAGTTTTTCTTGCTATGTGTGTGGTAATGTTTTGGATGATTTGCATTCTGCAATGCAGTAATTTTTACCAAGAAGAAATATATTCGCAATCATCAAAGTGTGTGGATTACTGGTTGACTTGGATCATCTATAGGAATAATAGGATATTCCTATGTCATTATAGAAGGGGCACTTAAAGTCCATAAAAAGTTCCGCCCCTTAGTGGTTTTCCCTGATATGTCTAATGACGATACCTATCAGAGGACACTGTAATTAGTGATTCGTCTCTTTCGTACTTTTCAAAAATTTGGATATGAATCTAAATCATATTTGTATATTGCTCAACAAGCCAGCCCTTCCAAGAATCGTCAGGATGGCCGAGTGGTTTAAGGCGCCAGACTTAAGATCTGGTTCTCGTTATGAGAGCGTGGGTTCGAACCCCACTCCTGACATCCGCTTTTTTCTGTTTTTCTGCATGCTTCACCCGCACTACGTTACCTTGCGACAGGAATCCACCAGGAATTCACAGTCTGGGAGTCCACACCCACCCAATGAAATTGTTTGGGTGCCCTTACAAAAAAAATCCGATTTTACCCAGAGATGCTTAAAGCTGACATTTATACTGCAGGAAATATATATATTCAATTTTGCCAAGATCCATTCCTACCAATTGCTTCCCAGGCGATAGGCAATATTAGATGAAAACGTGTGCAAAATCAACCTATTGTGATTTTTGTGGAAATGCATAGTTCCATAGTAAAATGTTGTCGTGTATTGTATACTTCAGTTGTGCATTCATTATACAGAACATGCTTGCAAAACACAGTACATCACTGCTTTTGCCAAAAAGAATCACAAGCACAGTTGATTTTAAAACTGCCTCTCAATCTATAAGAAACTTTTTCTAAAGTGGGATAACTGATAATTGATGGAAATTGGTCTTGCACAATCTGAAAATACAATTCTGGAGTTTTACTTATGCCTCTGTTTTTTCTGAACTCCTATTGCTATGCAATTCATTGGTTGAGCCTTGTCAATATACAAGACTGTTCAAAAGATGGCATCCTCATGACTCATTTATCCTAGTTGATTGATGGGTAATTTCCTGTTATCTCAGATGGATGAGACGTTCTGACGTGATGGTAGGTAGTCTGTTTAGAAATACTACTCAAGTATTAGTGTTGTTGGATGGTCTTTGACTTAAGATAAAAAGGCGTAAGACAACTTTGACTAAAACCCTCCGGATTAGGTGAAGTTAGGTTAGGTCAGGTTATGTTAGTTACAAATATCTTTTAATTAACATAACTGACCTAACCTAACTTTACCTATAACCACCTCCCAAAATTACTTTCAGCAGAAACACAAAGAAAGCAGAAACTGATTTTGAGAGGCGGTTAGATGAAGTTAGGTTAGGTCAGGTTAAATTGGTCAGAGGGAAGGTACATAGATAACAGGAAAGTAGGTACTGAGATAACAGGAAAGTACCAAATGATGTGATAAACTTCTACCCCCAAAAAACTTTCTCTCCTGACAGGGAAGGAGTTAAAAATGTCTCTGTGACAAGTTTATAAAAAACACAGCAAATTATGTAAATTGATAAAAAAAAATCAAGTTTCATTATGTATTCCCTCCTGGCATAAATATAGATGACTGGTGCAACACAAGAAAATCAGAAGTTTTGATTCATCAGAAACAACAAGAGTTGGTGGATGGATTTCATGGCGTTGGGGATGTTGAGGCTGGATTCCGTACTCTTCTTCTCCGTCCTCCTCTTGCAGTACGACTGCCGTACTCGGCATTGAACATTTCCGCCAGATGGAACATCTTTTTCCCACTGAACCTGTTGGCCTGGTCCAAAAGAATCTTGTCCTTGGGTGCTTTGGCATCTTCTGGACGAACCTATTTTTTTTTTAATTTGGAATCGGGCCAACATGAGTGCCAGCATGTATAGTTAGTAACTGAACATCAGCTTCAGAATCATTTATATGAGATGGGGAGAATTGGGTTTTGCTTGGAGATGGGCATAGGTTTTGACTTGGGGGAACCAGCAGTTTGGGTGTGTGAAACTTGGAAGAATGGCAGGAAATTGTGAATGGTGACATTCTGGGTCTTGAATTGCTTTATGAATGAGTTGACAGGATGCTGAACATTCATTTGCCAAATTAGTCTCTCACTTCCTCTCAGAACACATAAAGTTACTTTTTTCAATGTGTTTCACTTTTCTGCATCAAGAAAAATATAGCCAACAATAATTTGGATTGAGGATGTTCAAGAGGAAAATCATCAAGTAAAGTAGGATTTTTCTGCATTGCTTCCAAGGGATTTCAGACAGGGACTTGAAAAAATCTACTCAAGAAAGCATTTATAGCTCAGGAAGTTTTGAGTTATCCAGGTTCAACTGTGCATTTACAGTGAGACTCCCAAATGGGGACACATTGACATGTGGATAATTCAAAATAGGTATATTTATTTTTCAAAAAAAAAAGACCTGACACATGGACACTGACTCAGCATGCAGAAATTGCATAATAGAATTGCCATTACATTTCAAGAAACTTAATTGTATTGCACTTAATTACAAGAAGCAGATATTTCCAACTGTAAAACCTACTCTATAAAAATTTTCTTGTATTATTTCTCCCATAATTTTCCCATCCATTGAGCTAATTAAAAAATTACCTAAAGCATAAAGAACTTCCTTCTCTCTTTGTGACTTGAATTTTATTTTTACTGATGCCAGTACCTTACGTTTGATATTTTTACAGTACATTTTAATATACTGTACAGAGGTACACTATTAAATGCTCCAAATGCTCTTATTGAGTTTAGAAGATATTTGCTGAATTAAATTCAACCAGCAAACAATTTCCTTTAATGGAACTCTGAAGAGTAATTCTTCCATGGAATGTAAGTCTATGGGAAAATGAGACTAAACTTAGGGACACTCTTGATGCACCAATGACTGTGTGTCCACATCTTGGAGTCTCACATTATTGTATTTGCAAATTGTCAAGGCTTATCCACTTAAATGAATGAATGAATTAACAGAACACTTCATTTGCTGCTTTTCAGTGTTCACAAGGTTCAATCAAGATTTCCACAAGATTTCTGGACAATCCGGAAGAAGTAAGACACCTGAAAATTTATTGTGTTTAATGAGAAAGGAAAATGTCTTCCTTTTAGTGTAGCATACTGTACTTTTTGCTTAATAGGTTGTTAAGGCTACGTAGAGGACTCAACAATTGAAACCATTGCAATATGGAAGGGATTGTTGGCTGGTGTATGTACTATTCATTTCATAGTTTTGGTTTACAGCCAGGAGAAGTGGTTCTCTCCATGTTTTACACATACTCATTGGAGCAATAAAAAGTGCAGATTTTTGGGTTTCAGCACCTGCAATGCTAGTGTAAGCCTTATTTGTTAATGATACATGCTGGCATGCAGTGAAATTAAACAGGAGTTATTCTAGCTTGCCACATTCAGTTACAATTGATACCTATGGAAAATCATCTCATATTCAGCAGGTGAGTATGAAGTTTCATGCCATAAGCTGCAAATAAATACTGATGGCAGCCCTGGAGTTGGACTTGGAGATATTCATAAAAAAAATTCTTATATTGCTAGAAATAAAAAAATACTGGTTTGTGATTCTGAATGGAGTTTTTCTTGCTGTGTGTGTGGTAATGTTTTGGATGATTTGCATTCTGCAATGCAGTAATTTTTACCAAGAAGAAATATATTCGCAATCATCGAAGTGTGTGGATTACTGGTTGACTTGGATCATCTATAGGATATAGGATACAGTAATATCTTCCCCGTGAATTTCAGGTATTTTTCAAGGCGGGGAATCACCAAAAGGGACTATACAGATTACTGCTATGGATAGTCTCCTGTGACATTAATCACTAAGCAGAGAAAGCATGATAAAAATTAATTTAAAGCACAAGGTCTTCAGCTTGTTTCTGTATGAGGTTTAGTTGAATGACCAAATTAGAGAATCTTTGATGAGAAATCATAAAAAGCCAACAGTTTATCTTGAACCTTCAAGATTTCCAAAAGTGTCTCTTCATTGAATTCCAGTACTCATAAATCTTTCTTAAGCAAATATTGAATATGGATATCAGGTGAGAGCTCAATATGATGTGGGACTCACTTTTTCCTCTCAGCCATCAGGTGAGTGGCAATTTCAATTACTGTACTGCATTGTACTGCACAGTACTGGAAATTCGAAAATCCCTCACCTTCTCCAGTTCTGCAGAAACACTGCAGGCCAAGTGGTTCACCGACACTGAACGCATGTTGGTGCGACACTTGGGGCAATTGACCCTCGGTGTGCCCTGCCGAAAGATCCACGATGACAGACAACCCCCGCAGAAGGCGTGCAAACATTGGCACGGAGACACAGCATTGTGCACGAGCTCCATGCAAATGGAACACGTCACTGCATCCAAGATGGCGTCCAGAGTGGACGATATGATGACATTCGAGTCATCAGCAGCAGGGAAGTGCTGATGCTGATGGCGGATCACAGAGCGGGACCGAGACCGTTTCAGCTGCGTTTCTTCCTCTGCAGATGTCGCTTCAGTGCTCATCACTCGTTTCATTTCCAATAAGTCCAGATCCCCCATCATATTGCAAGGCGCACAAATGCGAAATTTTCACAAGGTTTTTAATGAAACGTAATTTTAGAAGATGTTGCCTATTGTACTTACTGTTCTTTGGGATTTGGGTTTGATGAAGAACAGCCTGCATAAGGTGTTGCATCTTCAAAATGCAACAGTCCATGTTGGGTTTTTAGGATGAATGTAGCTTGGTTGGATGTCACATTTAATTGATGAATGCTTCTCTTAGAGCCCTTGTAAAAGCTCTTGAAGCTCTGTGAGTTTTTTGAAGATCATAAATAAGCAAATCTTCTTTTAAAAGATGTTCATATACTGTACTGTACTCCTATTCTTCATCCATTTTTCCTTTCTATCAATAATAGTGTGAGTGCTGGATATTTACAGAGAATTTTCAGCACCATACAACTTTTAAAAGTTCGCCTTCATGATCCATGAATTTGCTTTTAGTTGAAATTTGTATTTTTTAGCAAAAAAGGTTTGGCACCTTCTGCATACCTTATGCTGGTGAATACACCCTACATAAATTGTGTGATGAATTTTGCTGTTTCAATTATCAACATATGCAGAATTGTGTATAAAATGATCATCAGGCATAAAAAAATCCTGCATGAGTTATTTCCAGGCAAACTGAAAGAAACACTAGATTACTTCCAGGGAAACTCACCTCTGAAGACATACTCACACAGATTTCAAAAAAATCGAGAATTTTGAAAATATAGAAAGTGGAACATCTTTAAAATTAACCATTCCAACAGCATCAGTCTGGATATCTTCCCATGTGTATAGTCAAAGAAAAAAAGTATTCATGTGATCAGCTGATTGAAAGTCAAGCATTCTTTGAATTAATGGTGCATATTTTATATAATGAATACAGCTTTTTTTGTGGTCGACCTCTCAATTATGGAACTTCTGTTGAAAGTTTCCATTTGTGTGAGTAAATGAGAAACTTTGATGAATTGAAAAAAGCATCATTGAAGAATGAAATATCAAGTATATGAGACAATGAATTTGCCTCACAGGATCTAAACAAAAAATAATGGATTTATGTATGGTGAAATTTTGTCATACATTTTGCATCACCATTGGCCAATAAGCCAAACTCGAAGTAAAATAGACTTCATAGAAAAAACTAGGTGTCACTACATGTTTGGTCATATACAGCAATTCTCAGGATGTCTGGACACCAAGGGAGGCCAAGGTGAACACTATCAGGAAAACAATCATGAAAGAACAAAAAAGAACAGCTCTTCATCCTCCTCATCTTCAACTGGAATCAAGCACCACCGCTATTGAATATTGTGCTTAAAAACATTTGCAACTTGAGTATTTGCTATCACCCAAAACTTTTTTACTAATGAAATAAATTGGATGGCTCAGAGAAATAGGGCTGGGAATGATGTTGCCACTGGGGCAGATCACAAAACAATCTGGATCCTTTTGGGTGACCATGGAGATCCCAGGGCATACATACTAGGCAGCCAAATGTGAATTTTTATGGAGGATTTTTCTACCTCAGGTCGAAGTCAACAAAAAAATGAATGTATGTTTTCACTCATAAACAAAGGTTTTCAATAATCAACTTTGGTCAACACACAATCTCAAGCACAATGGGGCTACAAAGCAAATCAATGCAACAATAATCAAGTGGTTTTTCTGACTATTGACAAGAGAGGCAAAAATATGAACACTGTATAACTCATCAAAATGAAGAAGACACAGACAACTCAACAAAAGAAAATCAAAGAGATGAAATTCAAAATACAAACAGAACAAATAGCAACCAACCAATCATAATAAAAAATTAACATAGAAAAGAAATGGAAACACAATTCAATAATCAACAGTAAGAAAAAAATTTCAATAAATTGATACCCAACATATGCCTCATATTAGTATCTTCACTTATACGCAATGAACAAATCATTGGAAAAGGCAATAGAACAAAGATTGCAAACAAAGAGCAATACCAAAGCTCTCCACAAGCCGCCACAGCACCCCAGCCATTGCGAATACTCCTACTTGGTGGACCAGGAACAGGAAAGTCATTCTTTGCAAACGAATTGTTGCAACGTGTATCTCTTCGTCATCCGTTGTATTGCATCGCATTTGCAGCACCAACTGGCGTAGCAGCATCACATCTGCCCTCTGCCAGCACCATTCACTCTCTGTTGGCCATTCCGGCTGTTGACAATGGCAACTCACGTATACACGCCAAGAGCATAGTGCAGGAAAGCTGAATGATGCTAGGCGCGAGCTGGAAGGTGTGCAACTGTTGGTTACTGACAAAGTCTCTATGATTACGCCGCAGCTGTTACTTGACATTGATTCACGACTGCGTCAACTTATGCAATGCAGAAACAACGTCTTTGGTGGTTCGGGAATCATTTTCATGGGTGATATGCATCAGCTGCCTGCTGTAGGTGGTTCTTTGTGTGCAGCAGCGTGTGACAACGCAAGCCCTGCAGGCGCACTCTTTCGTCAGTTCCAGCAGACCAGATTCACACAGCAGATGCGTGCAAATGAAGACATGCAGCACATTGCGGCGCTGGAACAACTTTCCAACATGATATTGTTGAACCCAGTCACGGAAGAGTTTGTAAGGCAGTTGCCTGTGTTAACACGCGCCAACGTTGCTGCAGACCCAACGTGGATTGACACACCAATTGGCGTCACGAACAACTATGAAAGAGACACCATCAACACAGAGCAGGTGGTTTGGTTTGCACAATGTGGAGGTGTTCCTGTGATTTGTTTTTGACTACTGCTCACCAACACTGCTCAACAGCTAGTAGAACAATGCTGTGGACTGATGGAAAGATGCTATGACCAATTCTTGTCAAAGCTGTATGGTTACTTTGCTGAAGGAGCACCTGCGACACTTACCAAGAACCTGGCACCAAACAAAGGTCTGGCAAACGGCACAACAGTTGTACTACATGGATTGACCCTGTCATGCAACAGCAATTGGGAGCTTGTTCAAAACGCCTTGCCTGGCAAGGTTGTCTCTCTCTCTGCGCCACCTCTGGCTGTACATGTACGTGTTGATTGTCGTCATGGACCAGTACCAGCGCACTCAGCAGGAGTGTCAATGTTCATTCCAGAAGAGTCAATCATTCCTGGCGCACCAGTTGTTCTGCTTGTGAAGAAGGCGCACCAGAAATTGTTTGTGCAGCTGAATGGTGTGCAAATCAAGTTTGAGTCATTTGCATATGAGCTGGCATTTGCGGTTACGTACTACAAGCTGCAAGGAAGCACGCTTCCAAAGGTGATACTGGATCTGAATAATCATCCAAACAAACCGCTCGATTTGTCAAGTCTGTACATTGGTCTGTCCCACGTGCGTCGGGCATCTGATATTTGAGTGCATCCATTCCAATCAATTGGAGGGATGTTTAATCATCTAACATTGCTAACGTACAATCCTGCTGTGCGCCGCTGGTGGGTGCGATTTGTGGATCCGACAATTCCGCTTCCACTGCAGCCAGAGCCACAGCAGCGGCAAGGTGCGGCAGGCAGTCGCCCGCAGCAACAGCAACAACAGCCAAGGGCCACGGGTTGTTCAACCGCTACCAATGGGACTGATCGACAGGAGCTTGAGCAGACACACAAAATTGAACAAAGAGCATGGCTTTCTTGTTGTACTCGTGCCAAATGCGCAGCTGTACAAGATGCATCAAAACACACAAGAGTTGATTCTTGGAGACCTCAAAACGTATCAGCTACACCGCCCGGCTGCTGCCAGGCCTCCTTGAGAGCAAGAAGTACTCGTTCAAATGGTTCAAATGCAAGAAGTGTCAAGAAAGTTGTACCTGGCCGCCAATGTCTTTGATGAGTTTGTTACTCTTATATCAGTTTTAGTGTAAATAAAAGAAAAGATTTACACTTGGTGCACTGCGGACACTCTACTACTAGTTCAGTTTGTATGGGTCTCTTCCAAATAGATAGGGATCAGTGTTACATCAATGATGTCTTAATTGTTCTGTTTCCCATTATTTAAAAATTTACAGAATCTTTTTTTTCACTATTCCCTGGATTTATTGCCACCCTGGCTTAGTGCCACAAAATGTCCTGAGACAGATGGTGGCACTAAATCAGGGTTGGACTGTGGATGGTTTTCTCAATAGTTTTCAATGATTCCTGGATCCTAATGAGGTCTACATCAATGGGCATTTTTTAAAATTGTATTTCAATGAAAATAAATTTCAGATGGGTGAAACAAATACCATAAACCAATGAAAAAATGGTCTTCCCTTCTTAGTGGAAGTATCAATAGGAAAACATTTCAAAGCAAAAGCCAAGAGACAAGCCAAGAAAAAAACACGTGGAAATATCTCAGAAAGAAATGCAATTTTTATTCCAATCTTGAATCACAGTGAGACCCCCACATGTGGACACCTTGAAATGCATGCCTCATTGTCAAGTGAATCATCCACTGATGGTCAAAAGCAGACTTTGGTTGATGCATGCATCCCTACAAATTGCTAATGCAGGCATGTCTGTGTTAATAATTTTGAGAGGATCAATTTGTGGCAGAACAATGTTCTGCTGCATAAAATGAGTTCTTTGTTAATGATTTGGACAATATGTTGTTAATTCATTGTTCATGATTTGTTCAGTCTGTGTTAATAATTTGCATACTGTGGTGATAATTTGCTTAGTCTATGTTGATAATTTGTTTAGTCTGTGTTAATAATTTGGAATTACTGTATTAACCCTTGGGCATTGGAGGGTCCTTTGTCAGTGTGTGGTGGAGTTGGGACTTTTCCTGGGGGCAGTGCATTTCAGTTTGACCCAAGGTCACTGAAATGTGCCCAGGTTGAGAAAGGCCTTAGTTGGGGAAATTCTGGGAGGAAAATTTTCTATTGTTCTCAGGATTTCCTCATGTAATCCCTATGCTAGGGAAGCAGGGAAAAATGCCACTCAGTGACGGATTTTTTTTCTTTTTTATTCAAAATTTTCTGCAGGATTAGTAACACATAGGACTTTTTCCTAACTTCTAGGCTTTGGTACAAAAGTAGGTTTTTTTTATTTGCAATGCCCAGTGGCACAAAATTTTGCAAATATTTTCAAACTTGGCTGCACAAGGGTCTATATGAGGAGAATAATGAGAGAAGAAAATTATGTGCAGACAAGAAAATGCTGGAGGACCACCTGAACCTGACGCCACCACCTGCCAATCTGTTGCATGAAGCTTTGGCACAAGATTTTGAATTTCCAATTTGCAATTGGGATGGAGTGCTTTGTCTGAACAATGTTCTCCAAATGGACAATTCAAACAACCTATTAAGCAAAAAGTACAGTATGCTACACTAAAAGGAAGACATTTTCCTTTCTCATTAAACACAATAAATTTTCAGGTGTCTTACTTCTTCCGGATTGTCCAGAAATCTTGTGGAAATCTGCAAGTTACAGAGTATGCAAGCAACCAACTGGTTCCAAAATATGAAGCCAAAATATTCACACAGAAAATGGGAGACAAAAAATCTTGAGGTTGTTGTTGGTGATCTCCTATTTACTGATGAGAATGTTGAAAAATACTTCACACATGACTTAATTATACTTTTTATTCATTACATTTATATACTCACTTTAAAGATGCCAACAACAATTTGTACTGGCAGACTGAGCTGACTGACCAAATAAACCAACCAAAGACTAACTTGATCTCAAGGCTGAAGCAGAAGATGTGTACAAACTGAACCAAAGTGAGTAACTTGTGAATACCTTAATTTATCAATCCAAAATTGCCCATTGTCATTTCATGCATGTGTCATGACTTACTTACAGGTGAGGCACAGTAATTTGTGGAATGCACATTGCTGAGGAATTGAAAGTTGCACAATATTATGGCCTATGTTGACAAGTGGGGAAGGTTCTTCAGCTACAGGCACAGAAAGGGGAAGTACAACACCAAAAAACAATTGCAGAATCAGCTGTATGACTAGGAAGAGGAAGAATTTGAAGGTGACATTACATACACAACAGAAACAAATGAAGCAATGTTGTCAGTGTGCAGCCTTACTCAGAAACACCAACTACATTGACTTGAATTGTTCTTCATCTTCCACCTCATTGCACTTGATGCCAGACGAATGATGGACTATAGGATTGGTAACATTCAGTGAAGTGGATGCATAGGTGAGCCTTTTAAACTTTGGGTATTTCTTTCAGGACATAATTTGTATTTGAACAAACTTGTAATTCATCTATGTGTGTGTCTTAACTTTTTGTTGTGTTTCTACCTGATTGTCTGCAAAGGAACCGCAAATCCCATTAGAGATGTGCTTTCTGTTCTGCAGGAGTATACCCTAGCAATAAGTATGATGATAGTGGACAACCTAAAAGCCACCTCCTGTAAAGACCCCTGGAAGTTGCCTCAACATCCTCAAGTGAGGCTTGCAATGATTCTGAAGATGCTGTCGCAGACCAAAGCAACGCAGCTCCAGCATCCAGTGGAAACCAGACCCCAAAAACATGTTGGTTCTGGAGGCCAGTGAGCCTAGCAAAAATCCCATTTTTGCAAGACTCACTGAGCCTCACTCAAGGACAAGAAATGGTTTTCACTTCTTCAATTTTCCTTTATTGGCCAATCCTGAGCCAGGAAGAAATCACCTGATTTCTTCCTGACCCAGTCCAAGCACCTGGGTATAAAAACCCTCATTCCTCTTTGAGAGAAGAAGTCCAGAAGTCATAACCCAGTGTTGAAGTGCCTTTTAACCTAAATTAAATTAATCAATCATTATTCTGAGCTAACCAACCAATTTAACCACTGACATTATATTGAATTAGCAGCCAATTGATGAACTGGGCAATGAGAAGGAACTCCTCTGAAGAAGAGCTTGAGTTCTTATTCAAAACTTGCATTCTGATGGCTGCACAATTCAATTCCTTTGTCTGGGATCCAATGGACCCATGAGAGATGCTTTTACTACAACAACAAAAATGTACGAAAACAGCAGTGATTGTAAGTGTTCTTCTTGTGGAATGAGTTATTCTCTTATTTCTGGGCAACAGTTTATTTTCTTTTCCTTCATTTCTGTTCCTTTTGTGCAGCACAAGTGAGTGTACAAACACCTATGAGAGAACATAATCAAATTGATGTTCAAATTAGGAGTATTAATGAGGTTCTAACAGCACCAAGTACATCTTACAATAACACCTTACCTGTGGTGAGGTCCCTGGATTCTTATGGCTTAGATGTGTTCAAGCTTCTTAACCATGCACGCAGTGTAATTGATGAAGGTGAGCTACATAACTTTGCTTTGAATATTTTTCAACATATTTTGTTCATTGTGGATGAAATGCAGACTCAACCATGCTCAAACCATGTATATTCTGAACATTGTTGCATCAACATTTCCTCAAAAATGAATGAGGAATGTATATTTTTGATATTATTGAGTCTATAGATTTCTTCTATGTGTCTAAGCAATGTTAATGTTAAAATAAGGAAACTTGCATACATTTCAGGTCATGTGCATGAGGAATGTACTTAGAGTGCTTCTTTTGCAGAGGGAATACATTTCCTGTCCTCCTTTGTCTTCATCTGTGTTCCAAATTCAAAAAACCCATACTTCAAACAACACACTGGTCAAATCATCAGAATAAATAATACTTGAGAAACTAGTTAATTTATTTGAATGTAATATGCAATAACTGTGGCCATCTTATATATAGACTCATTATGTCAACAATGGTGAATATTGTATAAAATTGTTCAACATTGTTAAAATCTGTTCAACATCGTTTTCCATGTATTTTCTGAACATTGTTGAATAAACATAAACAATAAACATGCAATGCATATTTTTAAAATGATTTGAGCGTTGATTCCAATATAATGAAACATGTGTACATTTCAGGTCATCTGCAGGAGGAACCTAGGGTGCTTCTTTTGCAGAAAAAATACATTTCTGGTCCTTCTTCATCTTCCACTGTGTTCCACATTGAAACAACCCCCACTTTGAACAACATGCTGGTTGAATCATCAGAGGAAATATACTTGAGGAACTAGGTAATTTATTTGAATGTAATGTGCAATAACTGTGGCTATCTGTGTATATATATTCATTATACTACTGATCATAGGTAGCAGGAGTGACAACTTAGTGCAAGATCTTGAATATTTGCCTGGAAGCAGTTTCTGTGATGGAATTGCTACCCCAGATCTGAATTATGGGGCAAGTGATGGCAATAGATTGATCACCAGAGCAAGTCAGTGTGGTACATTGATCTTGAGTAATTCTTTTCCCATGTTTCATGAACTTTTTGTCAACATTTGTACAGTGACCCCCCACCTAACAGACTTAATTGGTGCAATGGATTAGTCCTTTGGGCAAAAAGTCTGTTGGCCAAGTTCAATTTTGTCATAGGTTTACATGTTAAAAATCTTCAATGTGGATTTAGTTTAAAAATTTCACAGGAAAAATGGGGAAAACTTAGAAACACAGTCATTCTTGAATTGAATCAGACCTAAGTTTTGTACAATTTCAAAACAGGAAAGAAGAACACCCATAATTCTTTACTCAGTCATCAAACAAGTGAAAAAATGAAACAACACACTGATTTTCAGAGTCACTGTTGTCATGAATTTTGAAAAAGTTTTGTGCACCAGATGGCCAAGCTTGGGCAACTGATGGCCCAGCACTATTAGTGTCATTTAGGTGAAAAAAGTCTGTTAGGCAAGTTCAATTTCCCCATAGGTTTACATGTTGNTTGAAAAAGTTTTGTGCACCAGATGGCCAAGCTTGGGCAACTGATGGCCCAGCACTATTAGTGTCATTTAGGTGAAAAAAGTCTGTTAGGCAAGTTCAATTTCCCCATAGGTTTACATGTTGAAAATCTTCAATGTGGTTTTAGTTCAAGGTTTCTAAAAGGAGAGGCCAGAGATTTCTACCAGATGGGAAACACAGAGTTTTCACCATTTGAGAAATGTGAAGTTCTTGCAAGAAAGGATATTAGAAGTTTCAAGGAGACACACCTTAAGTTTCTACAAGGAAGGGATATGTGAAGTTTCTACAAGAAGAGATAAGTGAAGTTTCTACCAGAAGAGAGACCAGAAGTTTCTACAAGAAGAGATATGCAAAGTTTCTACCAGAAGAGAGACCAGAAGTTTCTACAGCAAGAAGGGATATTAAGTGTCTACAAGAAGGGATTTGTGAAGTTCTTACACAAAGGGGCATGTGTAATTTCTACCAACAGAGATATGCTGAGCAGATTCTACCAGAAGATAAGACTGAAGTTTCTACAAAATGGCATATCAAGTTTCTACAAAAAAGGATGACTTGTGAAGTTTTTAACAGAAACTTAAAAAAAGGGATGAAATTAGAAAAATGATGAAGTTAGAAAAAGGGGATTTTTATTTATTATTGTTACTGGCCTTGATCCAGCACTCTGGCCAGGGATCAGGCAATTTTTAGAGGCCTGGGATTGGCTATGAATAACTATGAATAAAAAACCTGACTATGATGAATAAAAAATTGACTGCCTATGAATAAAAAGTAAATTATGCATCACTAGTGCAAGGGTTCCTGAAAATGAGAGCAGTTGCTGTAGAAATCTGTGTGCATAAGTCATTTGAAAGCATGGGAGCAGAGAGTGTGCAAATTCCAGTGGGACAGCTAGAAGTTGCCAACTGGAGGCTTCCCCTCTGTACATGACACATTTGGAGCTCTAAGTAGTCTAAGAATGAGACTGAAAATTCTGAAAGCTTCCAGAAATACTGTGAATAACTAACTTAGTGTATTTTGTTTGTAGAATGAAAGCATTAAGAAAATAATCTGTAGGAGTTTCTTAGAAAGAAATTGTAAAAGTTCATCATAAAACTTACTGTAAGATGGGCAAAGTTTGCTAGATATTTTTAAAGCTAAGGCAATTTTCTTGGGATGGTCTTTGGGCCAGATCTGGCCCGCATGCCTCATCTTGGGCACCCCTGATTCAGATTCAGGTTTACTTTATTTTTGAAATACTGCATTTCAATTTTTTGTCTTTAAGACTGGGTGCTCGTCTCAATCAAAAATACATTTATATCGAAATTTTCGGCTGTCATTTGCAGGTGCGCGTCTTACTTGAGGGTGCTATATAGTTACTGGAGTAAATACAGGTTGTGTTCTTCAACAAGTGAATCAACTTCTATTATTGCCATCACTTCATTGTATCCTTGCGTCAATTAAAAAGAAATATCAGTTGGATCCTCGTGGGAGAATTTCAGCGACGTTAGCATTCCGGTGAACTTGGTGAAACTGGACATGGGTCGTGATCTCGTGAATCACATCTGGTATGAGGGAAGCTCTTCCACATAATTGAAGCTGAAGAGTAATGAAGCCATTCCGCAGTTGGAAACCCCTTCTCGTTGCCACAGGGCTGTGAATTATTTCGGCTTCCTTCCAGATGAGTTCAGAGGAAGTCATTCCTTGTCCGTTCCACCAACCGCGTCTGTGTGTCAACAACCATCGCGTGGGGCGTAAATGGAGGTGTGTGCAACCAATGTACTGAACAGCAAAGTCAGTTCAAATGAGTGGTTTCTTTGTAGGTATAGATACAGATTTAAAACTGGATTCGCAACGGTTTCAATATTCTCTTGGCTCAATCAGTGCTCCAGATTTTCAACTCCAGTACCAACATTTAATTTCCGTGTAGATGTCGTCTGATTTCAACAAGTTATGCGAGGTCTGAATTAGATTGAATTACAGTGGGACACATTATCGTAGCGGGCTTATCAACGGTTAATAAATAACTAATTGAAGGAAAACGCAGTCGCAGAAGTTGGACTCCGCTCAAGGCGACATCTACGAGCAGACGAATGACTTAATTCTTCCCTGAGTTCCAGGCACTGGTTGAGAATGTGAATTTATAGATGCCGCTGGTGCGTACGATGTTCGTCGACCCCGTTAAAAAAAAAAAAACAAGTACAAATCCTTCTTCGAACTAGAGAGAATAATATGTGAAATAATATTGATTGTAGAAGTAGGATATATTTTAAATTCACGCGAATCTCAAAAGAAAACCACTCATTTGAACTTACTTGGTTTCGGACGCATTTTCGTCCGACGACGCAGTACCTGAGGCAGCCTCCCACACTTCAGTGGGGCTCACAGTCGGCATTTCCTCGCCAGTGACATCCTTGTAAATTTCAGCGGGTGTAGGCACACCTGGTGGCACTACAGACCGCTGCGCAGCCAGAACACCCGCGTAGAATATCAGACCAGGTATCGTCAGCTGAAACATGCATCGAAGGCAGGACGCCATCTTCGCGAATATTGTTCTCGCTCTTGCTTGCCACCGAGCTGTGCTGCATTGAGTAAATTTTTCATTAATTAATTAAAAGAATAACTGTAATGGAGAGTAAATGATTAATTCCGGGAAGTAGGATACGCGTATCCCCGCCTGAAGTCAAGGTCACCGCGGTATGGGATGCCAAGTCCTTGTCGGCCATTTCCTGAGCCCTTCGCCGACCTCAACAGGGTTTTTTCTTCTTCTTCTTCTTTCATCTTGCTTATATGCGAAGATGTTTCTGGAAGAGCTATAAAATGTGATGATGATGATGATATAGAATAAGGTTTAATGAATAAGTCCTCGGCCAGTGTAACCTACAACTTCCTTCGTCAAAAGTCAAGACTCGAATGACAATCCGCGGAGATCATCTCTCACACGCGTCTCCCCCGCGATGATGATAATGATCTGCATCCTGGCAACGCCGGGTGGAAAATCTGGTCGGTCGCTGTTAGCTTCGAACTACTGTAGTAGAATAGGTGTCCCTCATGAGTATCCCTTAATTACTATAGTTTTAAGTAGCCTGGAAATCCTGCGGTGCTTCATGGGAACTTGGGAAGGCATTGTTCGGATGAAATTCAATTCACATTCGCCAGTCAGGTTCGATCATTTCAAGGTTCACGATAAACTTGAGACCGTGACAGGTTTTCCTGCGGTTTTCACTTTCTGGGATTAATCATTGCTTTTATGACATATAAAATCGGTACTGAGATGCCTGAGCATTAGTCGTTTCTGCTTAGTCTTTTCAAAATGATTGTGGGACTGGCGAAATTTCTGGGCATGTTCGCTCTGGGGTTCTACGCGGGAGCAGCAGCGAATCAAAACTACGCCGGGAAGGTGCCCAAGGTCCTGTCCCCGGTTGATTACGCTGAAAAGATGCGCAAGTTTCTCGACGGCAAGTGACTCCATGAAGGATGATTCAGTTTCCAAGTCTATTTATCCTCCTGTCAGGTTATTCCAGTCTTGGGGTAATCAATAATTTATTCAGTTGAATCACTGAACGATCTTCCTATTCGCGTGTTTTTGTGACTCGGAATGGATGAGCTATTTCGGCGGCGTTTCTTTTATTTCTCCTGACTTTTTCTTCTGTCGCGGGGAAAAGCACATGTGTTAAATTTCATGGCTGTATACTCACGCGGGAACTATTGAACATTTTTGATATGGTACTTTATCTAAGTACCAGAATTTGTGAAGCAAGGGAAATTATTTTCTGGAAGCATTTTTAAAAATCTGAGCCCATTTTCATTGCACGTTTAGCGGATGGCCTCGAAATGGCTGAATGCGTTCCTGTTCCAGCGAACGTTTTCCGAGAATAGATTTTACAAGTACAAATTGCAGCAGTTTGCGATGAATTTGAACAACGCAATTGCAAACTACTACGTTAAGTCTGTCGGAAATGTTTCTTGCAAAGTTTCTTTTATTTCAAGAAATGAATGTTCGCATGCACTGTAGATTTGCACGGTTCGTTTCAGTGCATTACTCATATTTTGGTTGCTGAATCCCCCTCAAATTGAAAAGTGTCAGAGGCGACCTAATTTCTACCTGTGTATTTGTGCTTTTCCTGTGATCATGGAGGGCCTGGAAGATGGGGGGTTGAAATTGTGTATAACAGATGACTTTGTAGGCAATGCAATTCAGGCACTGAGTGTCCCTCCTAACCCACACTTCAGAGACATGTAAGCATAAAAACATTTTTTGAAGCATCAATGCAAACAAATACTGTAACTAATTTCTACTCAGCCAAATGATGATATGAGCAGGAAAACCTCATCACACAAAATAACAGCATCACAAGGAATTTGAAGACATTTCAATACATGAACAAAAATTGAAAAGGGCTTCAGGATTTTTGACTAAGAAAATACATAATATTTATTGTTTTACACCCTGTAAATACTGAAATACGGCACAGTTTCCATCCAATGATAGGTTGAAAGTTTAGAACTTGCACATCAATATTGGTGGTGATGCAGAATATCCTTCACCTCCACTTCTTTCAGTAAGATCATTGAACTTTGGATGCCTAGCCAAGAAGTTCTGTTAGACTAAACAAAGATTCAACATGATTCAATACCATTTTTGGTTTTGCTGAAGTACCACATACAAGGGTTCTAACAAAAGTTCTTGGAATGAAAATGAAAATGGCGTCTGATCGAGCTGCAAAAAATTATTCTATAGGGCAAACATATTCTCTGGCACAAAAAAAATCAGCCCTGTATGACAATTTTTTCAATGTTTTGCAAAATTCACCCTGGCAGAGTTTTGCTATACACTCAACAGATGAGGCACCCTTCCCGCAGTTTTTTTTTATCTTTTGTGGCCCAGCTTTCCCCTCAGCATTTTTAAAATCAACTTGGCATTCTTTCTAAGGGTTGCCTCCAGGTCATCCAAGGCAATTCCGCCATTTTCATTGACAGCTGCCTTCACAGCCGCCACATCGGGGCTAATGTGGCGGTTCTGAACCAATGTGGAACTAGAACCCATAGAGTAGAACCTAAGTTTTTACTCTAGCTTGACTTTGTTCAGAAAATATATGATTGGAACCCATTCTTTAAATGACTCAATTTCAAAACCAAAATCTTTCCAATGTTGGGATGAACTGTATCACTGGATGTGCGACCTTCTTCAATCAATCATGAAGAAAGATCCGGAGATAGTTAATTTTAAATCCCTTTACTGGCAACTACGATGCTAAAACGGTCGCCTTGTTGTTTAGTGTTTCCGTTCTACAGTGTTTCTGAATCAGACTAGACTATAATTGACGACGCATCTTCACGACTTGCGTTCATAAATCCCATGATTCATACGCTAGAAAGGCAAAGGCTTGATTTTTTTAGAATATTTTCAGGCATCTTCAAGAAATTTCCGAGTGCAAAACCCAGACAAAAGCGATAGTGAGGAAATGCCGCATAGACTTGCTTGGCATCCCAAAAATTCCTTCCAAAACCAAAACAGGGCAGATGACCATTCAAAAGGCCACTGAAAGATACTTCCGCTGAATACTGAACAGTTCTATTGTCTAAATCGCCGTAAGTCATGAGTTGTCCAATTAACATCATCATCAATGGACTCCATCACATTTACGCTCAGTTATATGTCACCCTGGGGGTAAACGTCTGCGGAGCTGTACCCCTGTAAATAAAAAGTTGTTTTTTTAGTAATTTTTCTGGGTTGTACTCCTGTGACTGAGTTGGACCCCTGTATCGTCCTTAAAATTCCAAAATAAATTTTAGGAAAATTCATTTTTATAAGGCTTAATTGGAAGAAACAGATGTTTCCAACCAAAGATCTATGCATGAAAAATTCTTTGGTACTTTTTCCATCCATTCAGCTAATTTAAAAAATGCCCTGTAGCACAGAGGGACTTCCTTCTAGCTCTCTTTGTGACGTGGATGTTATTTTTCCAGATGCCAACTTTTCAATTTACTGTACATAGGTACACTATTCAATGTTCCAAATATTCTTATTGGTTTGAAAAGACATTCATTGAATCAAATTCAAGTGGCAAAATTTTTTTTAATGAAATTCTGAAGAATATTTCTCCCACAAAACACCAATAAAAAATTATACAATGAAAGTCTATTGGAAAACAAGATTTGACTTGGGGACAATCCAACATAGGGACACTCTTGATGCACCAATTATGTCTGCATCTGGGGGTCTCACTGTAGTTATGTACACTGTACAGCTTCTGTAGAACCAGCGGCTTAACTCATAATTCCCATAGATGATGTCAAAGAATCACAGATTTGGCATGCTCACCAAACTTGATGTTCTGCTATGTTCATGGCATTCTGGTGAGAATCACCAGTCATCCTATTTGTCTTGGTGAATACGGACAGACGAGGGATTTGTTCCGGCTCCTTAAATGCTTTCTGAGAAAATATGCTTCCACTCATGAACTCTGATTCCATGATGCTCTTCTGGTCAACAAACGCTGGAAAATTATTTCCCAGATAACTGTCACCAAAGTAGAGTGAATTCGCTTTTGTAAATTTTTCTTTTGACAAAGATGCAAAATTGCCAACAGGTTCACATTTTTCAAGGAGTCAAATGCCCTCAAGAAATTCCTGCGGGAAACTTTACTGCATTGCCTCATAATGTGGCAACAGTTCTTCTTATTTTACTTTCTTTGGCTTGGATTCCAAGGATATTACATCAGCTATTGCGTTCGGAACCGGCGCGGGAAAACTGTCCTTTCGCCTGTTGTGAAACCCGTTCGGTGCTCTTTCGTGGTCCAACGACAGCAGTTAACGCCTTCACCGTGTAGGCCTAGCAGTCACAGTGGGTCGACGTTATAGGCTCCGTTCACGGACGAATACTTAACTGTTTGGTACTAGGCTTAAAATTTATTTCAGTGAACTCATCATTTTGACTCTAAATGATTGTGAATTTTCATCTCAATAATGTAGGGAATTTCAGTGCTCTCTCATTAAGTTGTTTGTGAGGATACAATTCATGAATTATCCGTCATTCCATATATTTTCATCACTTGAGGAGAATTTTTTTTTCAATTTCGAAATTTGAGCAGGATTGCACAGCAATTTTTGGACAGATTTTCAAAGAAAAAAGTGGAAGCCTTAATTCTGTAAGAAGATCAAATAGGATAACTTCTACAGTTTTTCATGGGCTTGGCACAAAATATCAAATTTCATGTTATTCTCGTGAACTATATATAGTACTGTATATATGCAACCTAAATTTTGAAAACTGAATCAGGAACTGCAGTCCTGTACTCAAAACTGTTACCTGTGGCAAAGTCCGATTTATTTTTGCCTCATCATGGGTTCTGAATACTGTGTCTATATGAACTGCATATCATCGGTACGAAATGTAAATAGACCTTCAAGAACCTATATTATAATTTTAAGACTTTAATCATTAAAGTTGTGAACCACGTATAAGTCATAAGTACTAGAGAACTTCCTTTTCTCTTTTTATGGAATATGTTTGAGCTAATCTGTGAAATGTTTCAGATGTGTTTAAAATTTGCCAAATGACTCCATTGGAGCTGTAACAAAAACAATCAAACCTTTGCTAGTACATGGACTCATCATTATACCTTGAATAAAGAAAAACTTGACCCAATTATGAGCCAACTGGCAATTGGAACACAGGTTCAATATTTTCTTGATTGAAGACTTTGAAAGTGTTCTGGATTTCCAAAAACATTTGTTCACCAGAAAACCAGAGAGGGAACCAATGAAAGTTTCCTCCTCAATCAAAGCTGAAAATAATTTGAATTCAAGAGTCAACAGTCTGTCGTAAACTCTCTTGGACAATTATCTCTTTTCTTTTTATTCTTTTTGATTTGTGTGCACAAATATGTGTTACTCCTGTGAGTTATTCAAATCTGTTCTGTGCAATGTTTGACGGATAAGAAACATAAGTTGAGTCGGTTTCGAGTATTATATCTACTAACTTTTTGAACCTTGTATATAAGTTCCTTTGACAAACTTATACTCAAGACCCTGAAGTTTTCCGACTAACGGACGTAAATTATTTACTTTATTTTGTGATCATTGATCACAACTTTGTTCCTAATCTCAGAGATTTTGTCTATCAGCACATAATTGGTTTAAAAATGCTTTGCTTAACAGGCGTTTCATGCACTGTACAAAAGTTTCAAACACTTCAAATCAAGAAAACCGTAAATTTCTTTTTGTGATTTTTTTTCAGCCAGGAAGTGAGTGGAAATCATTCTACACAAAATATGTGGATTAGAACCAATAGGTGACTGAAAGCTGATGGAAAGTGGCACTTTGTGGCATTATGTGGATCTTGTTCAACATGAAGGGATTTGGGATGCACACACAAGTGAGTGCATGATCTTATACTGAAAAATAACCTATAGGTAGAAAATGAATAAAAACATACTTGCAAGTATTGCAGTGAGTACTGTATAACACTTGTACTGTAGTGATGGACATTCATGTATACACTGTGCAGCACTTCATGTGTCAAAGTCAGTGTTTTCAATTGAATGTGATGCACTATATGCATGAAATCT